TTGATATTCCATAGTCGAGAGTGAGGCAAAGAGTAATGAGAAAAAGCAAAGGGAAGAGAAAAGTAAAAGATGACAGGAAGAGAGAGAGAGACTGCTTGTCCCCATGGAGAACAATCCACCATATGGTGTTACACTGATCCATCTTGTATTTATTCAACTACAGGAGTTTTTTATTGCTAAAAGCATACTTTGCAAAAACATTTCCACAGAGATAACCATGTGAAATTGGTTCACTTGAAATGTGTTGTCAAGTGAAACATTGATAATAAAAATAGTAATAAAGAACAACTCCAAGCAACAATACTTCAAGTCTTTTTGGACTCAACATATGATATATGTCATTTTTTCACAAAATTGGTTCACTTTCCGTGGGCGGTTAACCCTCTCTTAGCTCGGGTTTCTCCTTCTGGGTAGAGGGTGACATGCCTCGGTGGAATCCACGTCCAGATCAATGCCCTTTGACTGGAGAAAGGCCGCTACCTGGTCCTCTGTGGAACTCGCGTGTTCCTCGCTGGACTCTTGCCCATGACCAGCGGCCGATACCCGTGCATACGTCCACGGCTTGATCTTTAGTCCTCCTACAGTAATTCATTCTTGTGTCATTCTTGTCATTTCTCTTTTCCAATTCCTCGACACTCCTGTCCTTCTCAGCGTTTTGAGACACAGCTGTTTGACTTCCTCCTAAGTGCAAGGATCTTTCTCTGAATGTCTCTGATCGCTGCGACAATACTGCTGAGAACTCAAGTGACTTTTTCAGATCCTCAGCTTCGTCCACTGGCAGTGACGCTGCCTGTACTTTCTTTGGCAGCATTTTATTTGCATTTGTTTTGCTGGTATTTTGACGTGCTGTGTCTAAAACAGCATAAGCGGCAGGAGCCGCCCTTTCGCCAATTATTACTGATAATACCTTGGAGCAATGACCAATATTGGTTCTTTTGACCAAAAGATCGGTTGGACACACAACAACCAATGAGATAAATTAGTTAAAACAACCAAAAAGGTAATACCAAAACCAAACTGTTTTCAGAGTACAAAGCTAGGTGTCCAAGACTAGTCTGAATAAAATAAATTACATATATTTCTTTTACATTGTGATTTTAAAGAATGTTGAGAACCACTCCTACATACGTTAAACCCTTCATTCTAATTCTGAATTTCACACTCTGCCTTTGCCGGTGGTAAAGTCATCCCATGGTTCTCAAACGAGGACATATTTTTGTTACTATACCAGTTATGACAACTCTGCTACAAAAAACTTGCATAGATAAAGCTCAAACTGAAGCGGTGTGTTTCTACATGCCATGCCCTTTAGGCCCATCTGTCGAGTGCACGCTGTTGTATGTGGTTTGTGCATTTCACAGACCAACAATCATGAATCATTGTCTCTCTACGTAATACTCCAGACACACTTCTGTCTCTGCAGGCATGGCTCGAGTTCAGCCCGCTCCATTCATGCATACAATTCACTGTGTCTATGGACAAGACCTGGGAGGACAAATGTGGAATGTGTAGGTGATTTGTGAATTACAATGAGGCGGAATCACTAAATAAGGTGAGCTGGAGGCAAAAATAAGCTGGTTGTGAAATAATAGACAATTGACCTCTGTGCTTGTGATAAAGCTAAAGCCGAACCCGACTCAATGAAAAATCATCTAATGAGAAGCAAAGTAAAGGCCATAGGTTGTACAGTACATGGTGCATTTGAAATAATCTTATTATGACAAGAGGTTTGCAGATTTGCCTTGTGTGTCATTGTAGCATCAATATTGATCCAAAGGGCGATTTACATTGAAAGGTAGTCCAGTTCCAACAGAAACAATCCGGAGCAGCCTCCTCCACAGTACTCCAAGGACGATCTAATCATTCATTATTTTGGAATTCTGGCAGCCTCCGCACCGCTGTTGCTCCGCAGGCAGTCTGTGTAAGGCTTGTGAGAATAGAAAATAAATCCAGGAAAGAGATGTTGTTATCACAATAAAAACATGGTAAATGTCTAATAGCTTTGTAATGCCTTTATTTTAATTCAAGTTCAATCTTCCAGCTCTGACTGGCCCATACAGTGTTCGACACAGTTGGTGTCTGACCTCCTCTGCTCGTTGCTCGTTCAGGTGCTCTTTATAGAAATGGCCTTTGGGTTACAATTCCTGCAGAATGCATTCCCAGTGCTCTTCTACCAAGAGTTGAGATCCTCTTGGTTGAAGACTGCTTTTATTTACTCTTGCACCCATGTTATTCAGGTTTCCCCGGGAGGAGTAGCCTATGTGCGCACATTTCAGCTGCGCTGGTTTGGTCCACATTGGGTGTGGCTCCTAGTCTCAGGCCCGCTTCAGTCAATGCTGGCTTGATGGGAGTACATTGGACTAAAGTCAATACTAACCTTTCAGAACGGGCTTAAGCCCTGTAAAGGGGTAGTAAAGCCCTGTAATGGGACTACACAGATTTAGCTAGTGTTTTGTGTTTTATTTTACAGAACATTGCATATATTCGCCTGGATAATTGTGGTTGAACAGGCCCAGCATAGGCTGGCTGTGTCTGAAGATTTGTTTTTTTTTTCCTGCTAATAAATATACATATTGTAGATATCAATCAATCAACCAGCCAACCAACCAACCAACCTTTATTTGGAGAGCGCTTTTCCCACGTGAGGTAACAAAAAGTGCTTCACATGTGTTGCAACCCATATCACATGAATTGTAAACATTAAAATCTACATAAACATAACAATAACAATAGTTGTTTATAAAAAAATTATACATTTTTTACATCCGTGCTACAGTTTCACATTCGTCACAACCACGGCTGGTTTTTCCCAGTGGCATTGGGTCCCGGCTCAAAAGGGTCCAACAGCACGTGCACTGACATACTGGCAATCTAACTCCTTGCCGGTGGTGGCGTACCCCTGAAACAGAATTTCCCAGGGCATTCTTAAGACACCGTCTTTTCTCTTAGAAACGGCTTTACAGTCTGGTCAAAAAGTTGGCTCTTGGCTCATTGCTATGTTCCAGATGCGTGTCAATTTTGGAACCAGCCTAGTTTAGCCGCTGTGGACTTTTGAATGCACTTGTTAACACTAGGACCGCCGCGCTCTAAACATACCTTGCACCGCCCCCTGCGGTCAGTTGACCGCTATGTATTTTGCGCTGATACAGCCTTTTGCCAAATTGATTGTTCACTAAACCAGAACTTGATGTTGCAAAGGAATCGTGATCATAATGAAACTGTGTAAATTATTTGTCTAAATATGCTAAGTAATTGTAATTCTAGCCGAAATAAAAGGCTAAGACGACACATTGTGCGTGTACTGATCCATCAAGATTACGATGACTTTTCAGGCTAGATTTATTTTGTAACTTTGCAAACACCTAAAAGGTTGGTCACTATATGTTATATTTGACTCAGTAACAATATGTAAATTCAAACAATATAAATGATAGTTTAGAAAAGCACGGGACCATAACGTCTTCGCGCTGCTATATGCGTCTACTTCTTACGTCATCTCCAGACTGTTTTCTCTTTAGAGGCCGAAATCACCGTGGGAAACATTATCTAGATAATAATAATATTATTCGTATTGACACAAGATCATCAGCTAGGCTACCATCGTCAATGTAAAATCTTCAATTTTACACGGGACACGTTAGAAAGACAAATATATGTATATATATATTTGTATTTATTTGAGACAAGCAGTGCTCTTTATGCTCAGAACAAAATTATAATCATTGCCTTGCAGTGCGCGCTGTGCAGAATAACACACAGTGTTATCTGGATGAAATAAGAATTATATCCTTATTGATATATGAGGGCCGCTTCTGCCCCACAGTCGCTCTCCTCCTGCAGTGTCCGCGGGTGACGAGCACTCTGATCTGCACTCTGCCTTGATAGTTCATCGAATTGTTCTTATTTTATTACGATATTGTATTCTGCTTTATTGCCTTCTTGTATGTATAAATATAATAATGTAATTGATGATGAATGAAAAGGCAGAATGGAGCGACAGCGCGAACACAGACACCTGCGTATGGCTGGCATTACGCGGGTCATGTGCGTTATTGCTTCTGGACTTGTTACAACACTGCTGTCCGTGCCGTGAATGCACTTTGGGTTTACGTTCAGATTTAGAATATTATAGGTGTTCTCCCCGCTGTCACTTTCTACCTCAAAATGTGACATCTCTCACCTCCGTCAGACTGTTCTCATTCAATGTCTTGAAGCACTGTCAGCGCTTCATACCGTGTACTTGCAGCTCTATTCATTTTGTACTCCTCTCTCTCTCCCAAATAATAATAAAAAAGTCCCTTTAGAGTCTAATGAAAACATATTGATACATTTTTATAAGGCGCGAAAAACCCCCGGGAAAGGTTACTATGACAACAGTCGCCCCTGCGCCATGTATCTCATGGGGAAGCAGAAAGGGCTGTGGTTTAGAAAAGTTAAAATGCGTGTAAATCTTGTTTTCTTTACTTTTTCCAAAACCAAAACACACCAAAATATAAACAACAAGTACCTAGAAAAAGTCATAAAATTTCAACTTCTGGCGTTTTGTTTTGAATACACTAATTAGCATAATAAAGTGAGTGACGGTCAGTTGACCGCTAGGGGCGCTCCTAGTGTTAAATGAATGGGGCTCCTGACAGCTAACGGATGTACAAATGTTTTTTATTTCCGCTTTTTCCTACAGGAGGAGCTGCCCATGACTGTGGCACATTCATTTCAATGGAGGAACTAGGCATCTTCCGTTAATATTTACAGTATCTATAGTTTTTCCTCAGACGTGACTGAATCCATTGACACCACTCTCACGATAATGAGCACTACTTTGCGCTATATTGATAGCAAATGAGAATCGTTACTCAGACCAGTGTAACGGCTGCAAACTCGTCCACGAACCGTATACGAACAACAGGACACAGTGTGGAGTCAACTACTTTACTCAGACCAGTGACAGACCAAAAATATACATTTTTAGTCACAGCGGACACACTGGTTCCCCCTACGGGATGAAAACGGCACGTGAGCATGGCAGTAGGCAAGGCAAGGCAAGTTTATTTATATAGCACAATTCATACACAAGGCAATTCAAAGTGCTGAACAAAATAAGAAAGCATTAAAATCATGAATAATCACAGAACATTAAAAATAAAAATATAAAATCCCTCAGTTGTATGCACAGCTTAAGAGAACTGTCTTTAACCTGGTTTTAAACATTGTCAGCAAGGAGGCCTGTCTCACATCTTCAGGAAGACTGTTCCAGATTTTAGCAGTATGAATCTGAAAAGCAGCCTCCCCATGTTTAGTTCTGACTCTGGGCACTAACAGGAGTCCAGTCCCTGTGCTCCTCAGAGTCTGGGCTGGTTTGTATGGGACTAACATGTCACTAATATATTTTGGTACGAGGCCATGGGGAGACTTGTACACAAGCAGAGCTGTTTTAAAGTCTATTCTCTGAGCCACAGGAAGCCAGTGCAGAGACCTGAGAACTGGACTAATGTGGTCGTACTTCCTGGTTCTAGTCAGGACTCGAGCTGCTGCATTTTGAATGTACTTCAGCTGTTTTACAGCCTGTTTGGACAGACCTGTGAGCTTGCCATTGCAGTAGTCTAACCTACTGGAGACAAATGCATGGATAAGAATCTCCAAGTCTGCCTTAGACACTATGTTTTTGATCCTGGCAAGGTTTTTTAGATGGTAAAAAGCTGCTGATGTTACCGATTTGATGTGGCTATTAAAATTTAAGTCTGAGTCCAGTATTACCCCTAGATTTCTGACCTTGTTGGAAGGTTTTAGGGAGAGAGACTGAAGGTGACAGATGACGCTCTCTCTTTGTTTCTGGGGACCAAAGACAATCATTTCAGTTTTGTCTGCGTTTAGCTGAAGGAAGTTGTTTTGCATCCACTCACTGATCTGTTGGATACAGTGAAGGAGTGAGTCCACTGGTCCATGTTCTCCTGCAGTCAGTGAGACATAGATCTGAGTGTCGTCTGCATAGTTGTGATAGGACACACTGTAGAGATTGAACAGAAGAAGTCCCAGGATCGACCCCTGTGGTACTCCACAGGTCAGGGCCATATGATCTGAGACACAGTTTCCAATCTCCACAAAGTACTTCCTGTCCTCAAGGTAAGACCTAAACCAATTTAGGGCGGTGCCAGCGACGCCAACCCAGTCCTCTAATCTCTGTAAGAGGATCTCATGGTCGACAGTGTCAAAGGCAGCACTCAGATCTAACAAGATTAAGATTAAGACTTTGCCTGCGTCAGTGTTCAGCCGGATATCGTTTGTCACCTTGACAAGAGCAGTCTCAGTGCTGTGGTGGGGTCTAAAGCCGGATTGAAACATGTCAAATGAGTTGTTGATTATAAGAACTCTAGTAAGCTGTAGGTAGACAACTTTTTCAAGGATTTTCCCCATAAATGGCAGATTTGAGATGGGATGATAGTTGTTCAGTACCGTAGCATCCAGACTGCTCTTTTTTAGCAGGGGCCTGATGACTAGTTTTCAGGGCCTTTGGGAATATTCCAGAATGAAGGGACATGTTTACTATCTGTGTGAGTGAAGGTAACAGACTGCTCAGAACAGACTTCAGAAATAGTGGGTAGTACATCCAGCTGCATGTGGAGGAGCTCAGACTGGAGATTATCTCTTGGATAGTTTAGAGAGCCTTTCTGGCTGTTGGATGGTTATCTGTGGATTGGAGACAATGGCGTTTTTGATGCCTTGAACCATGTCATGGAAAACATTTGCAATCTATTAACTGTTGAAAACAGAACAGGCAGATTGTTGCTGCAGCCTTCAATCATTTCAGAAAAATACCTTTCTCTCGTACTACGTAGCATCCGGTTAAACTAATCTTTGAAGATCTCGTAATCAACCTGGAGGTTGGACTTGGGCCACTTCCGCTCAGCCCTCCGGCACTTTCTCTTTGGTGCCCTGACCGAGTCTGCTTTAGCCACGGCGCCTTCTGCTTATTTTTCACTATTTTAACCTTCACAGGGGCAACGGTATCCATAAAGCCTAGCGTACATCGACAGAGAAATTGGAGACAACTAGTTGCACGACAGCTTTTGGCAACTGAGAGGAGATGGTGGGAGATGATCAGTTGCCAAAATCGGTCGATGTGCGCGCTCTTACAACTGGATATGAACAGTCAGTCTCCAGTTTCAGTCAGTTGCCCGTGTTCTACTTTTCGGCAACTAGTTGTCCTCAGTTTCGGAGATATGACCCGATGTGCGCGCTCCATGCGCCGCTCCGACAACGTGTGTGTATTGCGTGTATTGCGAGCCTGCAACACTTTATGTCAGAAAACACACTGTAGTTGAAGCCAGTTGCTGTCGATGTACGCGCTGTTATTCCCGAGACTGGCCTGCTACTGGGAGTTGCCCGTTTTCGTCAGATTGTCGATGTGTGCGGGGCAGCAACTCATAGGCCACGGATATAATCAGTTGCCAGTCCAATGTACGCTAGGCTTTACGTTCAAAACACTAGAGGTGACAGAGTTAAACAGTTAATCTACAGTATAACACGAGGCCTTCTCAAAGTTTATCCTTCCCATAAATAGAACACTCGTATTTTCATTTATGCACCTTCTTCGAACAGTTGCAGAGTCCACTGGTGGTTTGTTAGTGAAACACAAGTCAAAAAATACACAGAAATGATCCGAAAGAGCAACATCGACCACGTTTACATTTGAAATATTCACCCCCTTAGTAACTAACAGATCTAGAGTATGCCCTCTGCTGTGGGTGGGGCCATTCACATACTGAGTGAGACCAAAGGATTCAAGTACAGAACTCAGCTCATTTGCATTTCTGTCATTAACATTATCCACATGAATATTAAAATCACCTGTAATAACTAAGCTATCAAAATCTGTGCATACAACTGAAAGCAACTCGGTAAAATTATCAATAAAACTGACATGACTGCGGTGGCTTGTATAGGACAATGAAGAGTATTGGAGGTAGGGCTGGGCGATATGGCAAAAAAATAAAATCTCGATTTTTTTTCCTGCTTTGGACGATTTCGATTTTAAATCGATTTTCATTAAAGTCGCCGAAGACAGACTTTGCCCTTAAATATATTTTTTGTTCTTTCCACTGAATATTCAAGTTTCAAAACTATTTTTTATTTGTTTCCCCCAATACGTATTATGAAAGTCTTGCACAGACTGTGCTGATATTGCAAGTATAATTCATGTGCTGCTGGAACTCTCACAATATCCTTCATTTGATTTAACGATTTTAAAAATTTTCACACATACGATTTTTTCAAAAGCCGATTAATTGCCTAAATTCGATTTATTGCCCAGCCCTAGTTCATCCACAGTGTTGGGTCTGGTGACTCTCAACTTCCTCTTCACAATATCTCACAGATTCTCTATGGGGTTCAGGTCAGTAGAGTTGGCAGGCCAATTGAGTTTTTAAAAGCCTCAGGAATCTTCTGCAAGTGTTTAGAGTTAATTTGTTGGTGATGATTAGGTTAATGGCTCGTTTAGTGTACCTATTTATGATATGCTAATCATATATATATGTATAAAAAGGCCTGGGAGCTTGAGGGTTCTGCGCAGTATCTTTGCTGTTCTTTGCTGCTTCTATCTAGCACTGCACATTTCTGGACCGAGATGTCCGAGGTTCTTCCAGGGATCTGCTGTAACCACTCTTCTAGCTTCGGGGTCACTGCCCCGAGTGCACCGATCACCACGGGCACTACTGTCACCTTTATATATATATACATATTAGAAAAAAAAATTGTCCACTCACCTTTGGTTATCCCTCTCTAAGCTCGGGTCCTCTACCAGAGGCCTGGGAGCTTGAGGGTTCTGCGCAGTATCTTTGCTGTTCCTATCACTGCACATTTCTGGACCGAGATGTCCGAGGTTGTTCCGGGGATCCGCTGTAACCACTCTTCTAGCTTCGCGGTCACTGCCCCGAGTGCACCGATCACCACGGGCACTATACTTGTAACTGTCCTCAACGTCTGCTATATTTGATGGTCACTTGTGCGAGCGGCTTGCCATTTGCCTCAAGGGTGGTCTTCCACATTCCCATCAAGTTTGCAACGAAGTCCCTTAGAGCCCTGTTGATACTGTACAACTTCAAGCACTCCATGATCCATGTGTGTGGCATTGAGTCGTAGGCTTTCTGGTAATCAATCCAGGCTGTGCACAGGTTGGTGCACCAACCTATATATATGTGTATATATATATATATATATATATATATATATATATATATATATATATATATACAAAAAAATGTCCACTCACTTTCGGCCCTCCGCGGGCGGATGTCCCTCTCTAAGCTCGGGAGCTTGAGGGTTCTACGCATTTCTGGACCGAGATGTCCGAGGTTGTTCCAGGGATCCGCTGTAACCACTCCTCTAGCTTCGGGGTCACTGCCCCCGAGTGCACCGATCACCACGGGCACTACTGTCACCTTTACCCTCCAGGCCCTCTCCAGCTCCTCTCTGAGACCTTGGTATTTTATATATATATATATATATAAATATATATATAGGAGTTCAGGGCCGCAAAGAACGTTCATATTTTTAAGAGTAGGCTCAAGACGCACCTTTTTAGAGTAGCTTTTGATTAGTATTTATTATTTATTATTGCTTTTTAGTACATCTATTTATGTTTTAGACACATTCAAATTTTTTTTTTTTTTATTATTTACTATTTTTAATTATTTATTGTATCTACCCATTTACTATTGTTATAATCAATATTAGGCAGCTGCCATTTTTCTTTTTAGTGTCTCATTTTATTGTTCTACTTTCTATTGTATTATTGTATTGTTTTAGTGTCCCCAGTGTTTCCTCTGGAGGAGCCCTCTGCACTGAGAGCTGGGGTCTGCTGTGGCTTCGGGGGTCTGGCTCTTGGATCCGGTGGGGATCTGGGGCCTCCTCTCTCCTCTGGGTCCTATGGGGTCTGAGTCCTGGGCCTGGTGGGGTCTGGGGCCCCTCTCTCCTCTGGGTCCTGTGTCGTTCCCTGTGGCTGCAGCCGGCTCTCTGCTCCTGGTGCAGATGGCTCCTTGTATGGCGCTTCTTCAGCCGGTTATATCTGTTCCCAGCCCCATTTCTTTTTTATTGTTTTAAAATGTGACTTTATACTTGTATGTTTGTGTCTGTGTGTGTGTGTGTGTGTGTGTGTGTGTGTGTGTATACGCATGTGGTTGTATATATAATTATAAATGTGGTTTTGGGGGGTCTGTGGGGATGAGGGTTTAGGGCTGGGCATGTTGGATTGTTTTTAACTAAACTGTAAAGCACTTTGTGTTACACTTTTTGTATGAAAAGCGCTTTATAAATAAAATTTGATTGATTGATTGATTGAGATATATATATGTGTGTATATATATATATATATATACATATATATATAGTCTATGATATATACATAACAATAAATATATACTACTTATAAATATGTGTATATTAATAGTATATCAATTCCATATCAATTCCATTTATTTGAAGCCCTGTTTATTGGCTCGTATCATTGTACAAAACAACCTTTTCGTCCAGGTGATGTGATATAGACGTGGGTATCTCTGTACTCTTTACGTACTTCCTCTCAGCGTACGGATGTTGGAGTTCTTCACATAATCCGTTCCCGTTGTATAATCACCACAGAAAACTACACTACCCACAATTCACCGCGCAATGGTAAACTGTTGATATGCCGACTGTGGGACCTGCATGCGCCTGACAGTTCACTGTTCCGTCGTTTTAACAGGTAATTCATGACAATTTAGCGCATTGAAATTGTTTTAAATAACATTTAGTAATCGGGAGATGTATGTTGAGCTGTTGTACCATGACGATCTCGTAGAATTATGAGGATAATATGGCTACACATTGGAAAGCTACGTAAGAAGCTAACAGCTAGCCTCCATAAGTTTCGCTTTCCTGCAGTTCTCTGACGTTACATATCCATCAGTACCTCTTACCCAACAAAATTTAAGATATACAGACGAAGTGTCACAGTTTCGGGTTTCTGTTGATTCGTTTAGCAACCCACGAATGCGTAATATAGGATGTATATGCAGGTTATTAACACTTAACTTGTATATATGCCTTAAAAATAAGCAATACATGGACTTTTGAGCCATAATTCCATTTGTCCACTTTTCTATCATGCTACAATATTGTGGATTATTCGTTTATCGATGTTGAATAAAAAAAACAAAAACAATATCATTAATTATCCTAACTTTTTAAAAAGAGTATATCAAATTATGATAAAATGAATGAATACATTCAAATATTCCAAAATTCACACTTTATCTCTAAGTAAAAGAAATGTGGACTTAACTTATACTCATAATTGTCACATATATTTTGCAGTGTGGTCTGCGCTCCTCTGCCTCCTGTGAGCAGGATGAGTGGTAGAAGGATGGTTCCTCCTCCACGTCTCACTGGAGCTCTCAGGTCCTTCTCTGGACTCTGTAAAAAGGAGGACCCCACAGAAACACCTGTAGATTTAAAGGTATGTATAATTTGCGAGAGGTAGTGTATGCGTGCGTGCGTGTGTGTGTGTGTGCATATATATTAGGGCTGTCAAACGATCACATTTTTTTAGTTAACAACTCACCATTACTATGTGATTAATTAACTCACGATTGATCAAATCCAAACCAATTGAAGTTAAAGATGCAGTCAGTGATTTTATTCCAGATAAATATTGTGGGAAAACGTCCCTGAACCCTAAAAGTAGTCAAGTAATCATGTGTTTTCCAATAGTATTGGAATTTTCCAGATTCCTATAGTCTCCAAAAATTAATAAAAAATATTTTGGAGCGGACCAATAAAAATAAACCAATGGGATTTGTTCATCCCCAACAAACCAATGGGATGCGTTTACCCCCTTCACCCTCTTCCTGTTTCTCGCACGCACCGGAATTATCTGATTATTTTCTAAGACCTAAAAGGGCTGAACAGAAAGGGCCAATTTCATGTTAGCCACCCACTCTCCCTGTTGTGACAAAGAAAATAAAATGCTGGATGTTTGGTTTGGTGGAGATGCGAGGGAGGGGGGAGTGGTTTCGAGTTGGTGCTACGGCTAAGCTAACAACATCGCTAACTGCATCTTTAAATGAGATTATCAAATGTAATGACACATTGTTTATACAAAATGTACTTGAATCTGTGTGATTTGCTCACAACCTTTTACTTTTGGGCACAACCAACATGAGCTGTTAATGAAAGGGAAAATTTACATACCCCAGCTTTAATTTAGCAAATTTAGTTGCGTTTCAGGAGGAGACACGGGTACTTCCTTTTACGGACATGTTTACTTTTGAATGCGCTGGAAAACGGCAGCAGGTCCTAAGTAGCTCGGAAACAGTTGTTGTTTTGTGCTTTATACATTTTGTTTTTCTTGCTCTTTTCTACATAAGATGTTGCTCCAGTACAGTGTTCATTGTTATTGCACTGGTCCAGACCAGAGCAGAGAGGATTCATGTTCCGAACCAAGTGGATCATATTTAAATCCATTGGAGGAATGCTAACTTATGAAAAATGCTAATGAACCATTCAGCATTTTACTTTGGACTAGAGCAGAGAAAATGCTCCGAACCAAGCGGCTACTCCACCTTGTGACCCATCCTGCTCCACCCAGCGGCTACTCCACCTTGTGGTCAGTCCTGCTCCACCCAAAGGCTACTCCATCTCTGCGGCTGTGACCCGTTCTGCTCCACCCAGAGGCTACTCCACCTCTGCTGCTGTGACCTGGAGTGACCTTCATAATATATCCTACATTTAACATGTTTGCACACTTCGGTCTTTGCACAAATCTTGAGTGATTCCAGATGTGACATGTAAACGTATTGTGAGATCAGTAAAGTCTGTCTCATCTTATCTTATCTTATCTTACTACTACTGAAATTTAAATGTTTTATTTCTCATTCAACAATAAAAAAATGCTTTAACAAATAAACATTATAGCATTTTCAGTCAACAATAAGAGCCAGTGACATATTCCACTCAAATACAAATGGTAGAAAGAAAAAGCTGATATTTCAGTATACTGAGATAGTTGGTTGTTTTTGTGCTCCAGTGCTAGCAAAGGTGTTTTACTTTGCGTGGTGGTGAGTTTTTAGATGTTTGGTCAAGTTTCTTCGTGTTTGTTTTGGACCCACCTCGTGCCTTATCGGTATCAGTCAGTACAATCTTGGTATTTGGTTCTGAGTACTGATTTGAATGCTCAATCAAGGTTGAAAAGTCTATTTATCATGCTAAGCTTTCCCTGTGTGTAGGCAAAGCGTCTGAAGCGGCAGGAGCTGTTTGCCAATGAAGGCCTGACGTGGCAGAAGATCCTCAGTTTCTGTGGTGAACAGCAGAGCCTGAACCAGGAGCTCCATTCAGTCCTCCAGGCAGCCAAACAGATAGGTGACAATTTAATCCTAAAGTTTACTGTGATACATTTTATATAATTGTGGAGGTTATAAGACAGACTAGATAATAATAAAGGCAATTCGAAATGTTTTGATTTATGTTGAGAAAAAACAAGTAATGAGGGTACCAGAAAGATGCCAATCAAGGTTTGGAAACCAAAGTTTTGAAGGAAATCTACTGTTGTTTGTTTTGATTGCAGGGAAAACCGGTGACACATATTTTGTTTTGTTCTATTAAAAACGAAGTCATATAAAAATACTAGAGGCAGAAAGATTGATTGGTCACATATCATGAAAAAAATATATACTTGATCGGTGGATTGCAGAATATGCAGATTGACCAATCGCATTTTCTCTTTAAGATAAATCAATGAGGTCAAGTCCCGTGCTTTGCGCCCCGCCTTTTGAAACTAATACATTCATGGCTTTTCACCTCAGCCTTGCTCCTTTCTGTGTTTTTATTTGTTTAATCTGTGTGTATGAACCACCAGCTTCACTGTGTGTGTTTATGTGTGAAAGTTACCAGTGACACTGATGTCCAGTGGATATTCTCTTTTTGACAAGTCTAAACATGAGCCGTGTGTGCTTTGTTTGTTCTCTAATTTCTCTGCTAAAATCATATATAGTCACATCAATGTGGCCACATTTAAGTCACCGTCCACGTCTTTCCCTTTTCCCAAAAGAGAAGGGAGGGATGTGACTTAGCCCTGCTCACATTGTGTGGTTTCCATGGTCACTCACAGGGTGTTAGGAACATAAAGTGAAATACAAGTGGAATTACGAAAATACTGTGTTATACATACAGTAAATAAATGAAACACTTCTTCTTCAGGTACATAAAGCATGTTGTCAGGGTCTTTTTTCACATTGATAGGACCTATCATTTCGGCGAAATCCTAGCTCAGAAACCAAGCTGTTGTATGCGCTCAAATCATTTAGAACAACAGTGTGAAAACCCTGGCTGAAATGTTTGCATGGATTTGGGGACCAATCACAGATCAGGGAGGGACGTACGCTTGTAGTTTGTTTACAGATCCAGCAGATGGTAACAAACGCAAAGCTATCTTCCTTGCACAAACGGCAGTTATCGTTCGACACTTTTGTTATTGTGTAGAACTGATATGATTGCAGCATGTAAAGTTGAAAAGTGCCTGCTGTAGGGATGTAAAAAACTATGAATTTTCATGACCGACCACCGAGCCTCATTAACCGGTTGAAACCGGTTAACCGCGTAGTTTAAAATAGTCCACGTTCTTTGAAATAACAGCCATTTCGAGCCGCGTACTTTTCATAAGTGCAGCTCTGCGTTCTACTGGATCAGAGTTGAGACAGCGGCGCCAAAACCCGCAACAGCTCCGGCACCTTTGCGCACAGAGAACTGCTTTTTTAATCTTCCCATTCTGCTGTGCTGCGGGTTAATACCAAAACTTTCTAGCAGCAAACGACGGCTCGTTCACATGGTCAGAGCAGCGAGTGACGAGCCGCGTCTCACAGGTCTTCACAAAAGTTTAAATACAAGTGATGTGTGTGGAGCTGATCCCGAGGACCATAAACACAAACATGTTCCATGTGGTTTGACTGGAGCCGCGTATTTGCGCGAATCCTTTGGGCTCCGTGACACAGAGGAGCGCGACAGACCGGTATGTGTGTGTGTATGTGTGTATGTGTGTGTGTATGTATGTGTGTATGTGTGTGTGTATGTATATGTGTGTGTGTGTAAATGTAAGCTCCAATGTAGTTCTGACCCGCGCCAGTGTGCAACTTTGACGGTAACAGAGGGGAGAGATGATGGGTGTGGATGTTACGTATGGAGAGGGGGAAAGTGTGTGTGTGTGTGTGTGTGTTTGTGTGCGCGCGTGCGAGTGTGCATATGTGGCTCGTGCGGCGTGAGTTTTCCCGGAGTTTATAATACATGGGCGCACACAGCTAGATACAGATCCGCTCGTCACACCGTGCAAATAGGGCTTAAAATTGCGTTATTAAGAGACCTCCCCTCTCCCCTTTTTCTCTTTTTTAACCGACAGCTTTGACCGGTTAACGCTGTGACGGTCAACCACCGGTTAACCGGTCGCCGATTTACATCCCTAGCCTGCTGCATACATTAGCACTATTGGGACAAACTTGTATACACATTCATAGTCTTTCCCCAACTGTTTAATTCTCCTAATTAAAGTTCCTGCTGAAATCACTCATTTCTTTGAGCTGTCATATACCAACAGGAACATATGAGGACATTACGTATTCTTTTCCTTCCTTGCCACTGCTTCTCACTCATTAGAAAGAAGAGTTTGCTTTTAGACTATTCTTTCTTGATGTGTGGAACCTGCCCTCGGCTCTGAGACTCTAATAAGAAAGCACTTACGAGGAGGACACTATGACGACGTGGATGAAAGACGCCATTTACGCTCAAACAACAAGCTGTAGCTACTGCGCTGAACATTTTAATTGGTTTAAATCCTTTTCATCTGTTTCACCTCTTTCTACAACTTTACCTTTACTCACCCTCCCTCCCGCCATCCTTTCTTTCTTTCTCTCTGCCGTCCTTGTGACATTTTTCCTCTAATTGGACAATTACGTTGCATTTCTCGTTCTGGTTAGGCATGAATTGTTTGGATATTATTTAAATGAGCTGCATTGACCTTATAGACTGAGCTTATGCTTTGCTCGTAGCGCTCACAACAACATCTGCTGTATAATAAGTAGTGCCATCTCTATTAAAAGCAAAACAAGGCTTTTGCTAATATCCAACTAGCAATAACAGCAATAAGCTAATTTGCGGTGCCCCTAATAATGATTATGCTAATTAAAACAATCCTTGCATGTTATTTAATCTTAGCTTGAATTCATATTTTTCCCCCTTCTGGCACCAAGGCATCTCTTTAGCAATGGCAGCAGTTCCTAAGCACCGAAATATTGTTATTTTTGGTATTACTAAGAAGTGTTAAAGTGAACTGACAGCCCTTTTTCAGATATGTCAGATAATATTGGCGATAATATAGGCAAATTAAGCAAAGCTCTGAGGCTTGGGTCTGCTAAGGTGTTGCTTATACTCTAGTCTAGAAGACCATTGGTGCCTGACCTTTTGGTGCTGCGACCCCCATAATATAAAAAAGGCGCTTCTCAAGGCTACAGTATCCAATCACAGACTCCAGTGTGTACAATGGACACCTGCTATCGGGCGTACAGAGGGGGGCATGGGGGGTATGGGGGGTATCAGTCCCCCCCCCCAGCCCTTGTGGGGGGATATCTCCCCCTCAATCTTTTCCCTATTTTTTAGACTTACATGTATACAAGTCCCACATCAAAAAGAGACTATGTTTATTATAATTGTACTAAATCTGGTCTCATCTAACATTTGTTTTACCCTTAAGTGTTCTTAATTAATTAAAAAAAAGATAAATGACAAAAAAAATTGTGAAATTGTCATTATTATTGACTCGTTGACTACCAGACCTTTTTCAGATCAGTAAAGTACGTTCTGCAAGTGTTTTCAGGGTATTTGACCAAACTTTGAAGAGCCACAGAATATTCAGTTTGACTATATTTAACTATATAAACAACAAGGGCCAAATGAAAGATTAGGCTCTTAGCTTTAATTGGCAAAAAACATTGTTTTTTTGTTTTACCTTTGACCGTTCTTAAGCAGTCTTTCATAGAACATTAGTATAGTTTTCTGGGCCCGTGCAGGGAAAGCACAGTAACATAACCACTAGACCACCACTCTATACCACATTTAATTTGCCCCAGGCAACTCTTTCAACTGTCAATGAGGAACCTAGCAAGTTTTGCATCAAACGAAAAGTTTTTATACGCCTTAAATTGTCTCAATTTTTCAAAGCCATCGCCGATAGTAATCCTTGTTTTATTCTTGGTTTGGCATTAATGATTTGAGAATCATAACAGCACCGTTTTTAGTACTGCGGCCACATTTTACCTTACCAGTGAGATGAGCAAGCCGGGAGTTCTGGCAACCCGGATCGCAGACTTTCTGAATGGTGAAACGGTGGAGGCTGGGCCATTGAAATTAGAATAATAACAAGATTTATGGGCTGTAAAACTGATTTTGAAATTCAAATATCTCTGCTGAACTACGGTTATCAGTTAATTAAATATTTGGAAAGAGCATGGTTTTTTTAATGCCTTCTGACATATTAGGGCCAATTAATGGTGACTTGACACACACATCTTACATATTGCTACTTTAAGTTAACCAATTCAGGCGAACATTCGGTGGTGGTTTCATATTTTTGTAAATTGGTTCACACGTGGTGCACTACACTCTCAAATCCAGCAATCCAAAATCTAATTTCATTCTCAATCATTTAATTCTTCTCTAATATGTTAACATTCCTGGAATAAAATATTTCAACATGATTTGAGAGTCATCACTTAAAAGTTCATACTATTAAAACCAAGACTGCATGCTGTGATGAGTTAAAATTGTCAATGTTTTTAATTCAAACTTTGTTCTTTGACAGTGGGATCAGAACATGGACAGGAGGCCATTGAAAGCGCTGGAGTGTTTCTATTTGAGACTTTCCACAACAAAGATCATGTTGGTACAGAGGAAACCCGTTCTATCAAGCAGATGTTTGGCCCTTTCCCCTACTCCGCCGCCGAATCCGCCTGTGCCTCTGTTGTCAAAATTGTAGCAAAACTTGGAGATTCTCGTGTGGAAGAATTCGTCCAAAACCAAAGCTCACGCCACGACCCAAAAAAGCCAGTCTGCTTTGGACGCAATATCCAGTTTTCACAAGAGACGTACATGCTAGAACCGTTAGAAGACCTTCCTGAAAATGGTTTTGAAGAAAATGACATAACTTTAGATTTTATGAACTTTTTTGCCCAACAGCAAACTGATAGCAAAAAGGTTTACAATGAGAATGGAGCCTGTAGTTTGGCCCAAAGGGAGAGAAGTGCGGAGGATGAGGGCGTTTTGAGGACAGAGGTGCAGAAGTATCTGAACGGAGGGAACATGATTTCATCCAGTGTGGAAGAGCTGTCCACGTCTCTCTTTGAAATGCTGTCATCGCCACGGAGCAACGACGAGCTGCAGAATGAGGTACAGAGAAAACACTTAATGTAACTAGAAATGTGGAGTAATAATAGGGAGATCTATATCCAATTTTGTCACATAGCATCCAGTATATACAATGGGTGACATTTTGTTGTTTCTTTTTCTTTCTTGCTTTGTTGCTATTTGTTTCAGGCATTTAAATGAACATTTTGACATCATTTGCTTCACTTTACTGACAATCATTTTTGTCTTCATATCAGCAATGTCCAACCTTTTTAGCAACACGGGCCGGTTTTAAGTCAGATAGTCAGATAGTGGTGCTGCTAGTCTATGCAATAGTTGCACAGACTAGCACCATAACGCTGGTTGATCAACTGTCTTTTCCATCGCCTTTTTAGCCTCAGATCTGCCCCGGCTGTGTATCTCATGTCCAATGGTCTTGGTCCTGGTTCCTCCGGTCTGGTTTCATTCATTCATTCTTTTTATCCATTTCAGCTCTACTGTCTGCTCTTGTCTCTTATTTAGGCTCAGCAAAAGCATTTCAATTGTTGGGCTTCTTGACTAATTGTTGATATCAGCCGAAGATGTCGGTCATCCTCTAGTATAGAGCTCCAATTAGTGCTCCAGCGTGAAAAACACTAGTCTGAGTCTCACTAGTACCTGTCATTCAATCCAGAGGCAGATAGCCATGCAGAGACGTCTCAACAAGGGCATTTCCACTACATCTAGTAACTTCAGAGAAGATGAGGGGTTGTAATATTATTGCGTTTGTGACAGCTTCGGGCGGCAGATTAAAATACCGATTTCCTTCTATTACGGATTAATAGTCAGGGAGCTTGTATGCCCTTCTAAACATAAAGCTTTACCAAGGCCATGCTTTCTTTCCCCTGGCGTTTTGTGTTGCTGCTCACTTGCTGTCTAGAGGTTGGATGCTTTCACTGGTTGTATTGATTTTGACCTTCATAGACCTCTGAGCTGAAGCCTAGTGCTGTGACACGGAGGGCATGTCCTTGGCCTTTAAAGCCAGCTTTTAAGCACATATACCAAACTTCTTCATAGATCTGACCTACAAGTGTAAAACTCCTGTATGTGTTGGGGGTTGTCATTCTGTTCGTTTTATCTAATTAGTCGTTGTTAGAGTTTGCATTACCCATGTGCTGACCTCTTTTTTATTTTGATTTCACTCATACACCAGTTCATAGCTCTGATCAGGGTTGGTCAAGTTGCTTTCATTTCAATTCAATTTATTTTTGTAAAACATAAATCCCAACAGCAGTTGAGATGTAAATTAGAGACAAGGCACTGCACAAAATTGTCAATTTGCCAACAACAGATTAAATCAATTAAACTATTAGAACTCAATATAATATGCATTATTGGCTGTAGCTTATGCCAGAGTCAAGCCTGGGTCAGGGCTGCACATTGTACGTAATGTTTCTTTATAGGACACTTTCTTTTTAAATATTATCAGGATGAACCCAACAATGTGTTGTATCTTCAAGATTAACACAATTCTCTATCGTTCACCACACCTTTTGACCTTTCATAGAACTTTACTTCAGTTTGTGAGCTGGCTAATGTCATTGGCATTTATTTGTTCAACTTTCCTAGCGTCCCTCACAAATTCACGTTCCACATTATTACAGATCTATACCAGGTGAATTAAGCTTTCCTCTGCACTGTACCGTTGCAGCACTGGAAATGTCAGCGTTGCAGGGTCACCACAGAGAAATAACGCTGCGCGGGGCCAGTCTATTGTCAGCTCTAATGGGCCCGAGTGCAGCAGCCTTTACACTTTACAGATTCACACAGCGCTGGATGCATGCAGACCCGACGGGACCCCTCACTCCTCTGACACCAGAACTTCTAAAGGCATCGGTGTGAACGTTCTCTCGAAATGTCAGCTACGTGAGGCACATCTGAACCAAGAAGTGTAGAGAGGGATAGATGCTGAGAGGGAGGGAGGGAATAAAAGGAAAGGGGTAAAAGGGAGGGGAAGAAGTAAAAAGGCAGGTGGACAAGGAATAAAAAATACATAATAATTAAGCTTGATATTATTAATAGACATGCTTCTCCTCTTCTACACCATTGAACTGATGCTTCTCAAAGTGTGGAGCAAGGTGATTTTGTGTCAGTCATACATTTTTAGTCATTGACCAAATGTAACTATGGAACTTGTAAATGTGCAACATCAAACTAAATATGTGTTTCCCTTAATTCCGGTTCAAACATTCTGAGATCAATCTTAACTCATAAATTCACATTCACAACTATCAGATCCTACCCCTGGACACCAGCTACTACCGCCTTTATATTTTTAGTTTGAGCTTTTTTGTGCAGAGATTCTTGTCACTTTGATGCATTTGAGTCATCAGTGGCTAAAACTACAGGGCTTCACATCCAGGCCCTTTCCACTACACTTCAGTGGCACTGGTGCTGGTGGTTATGGGCGGATGTAAATGTAAATGTAAATGTGCACTTTATTGTCCTCGTAGGGAAATTCCTCCTCTTCATTTGACTCATCATGATGCCACTAAGGCTTATCTTTCATTAATTGATTTGTTGCAATTTATCATTTAACTTGAAAATATTTTCTCAGGAGCAGTTGAAACATATTGAGTAAATTTACTCAAATGGTCTAGGCAGTTAAACCTGGACCTGTAGTTGTAGCAGGTGTACAGTTATTAGTGTTTATGTCTTTGAATGGATTTAGCCGCAAGGAGAGTGGACTGAACCATCTCAAACTCAGCCTAGCACCCCAGGGAAACATTTCACAGGGCTTGGGAAAGAAAATCATTTTGAGCAGTTTAGTGCCAACTCCCAGCACTGCGTACTCTGTTGTCAGTTTGGTGCAGTAACCAAAGCCTTATACTTTAGATAATACGATTGTTTTTACTACATGGAACTAGTAAAATAATAGAGTTTTATTTGACTTGTGTTTTTACAGTTTTGTCTGTTTACTAATCCTGCTTGTGAGCAAAGTATTTGTCTGTATACATACATTGAGCTGTGATCCACCTTGGATTTACTCAAATTTCAGAATATCACATTTGGTTCGATTCATGATAAATACTGTATGTGAAATATGATGTCATTGGCTTACAGGCTTTGAATGTAAAACTTAAAAAACACAGAACCCGCTGAGCAGCAGTCTCACTTGCAGACGTGATTTGATGTGATAGTACGTGTCCTGTTCCCTCCACATGTCACGGTATATCGCGATCAACATATTGAGCGCCCCTGATTTAAGGTGTCTACATTTTTAAAATCGAGTTAATTACAGCTTAAAAATGTATTGAGTAAGCAATACATTATCCCAGGGCGGTACTTATTTTCCGATAATGACCTGTGTGCTATACATTATCCCGCTTATTATGCGGCTTTGTACCAACAGAACACACAAAATAAACTTCAGTCCACTCTTAGGAATGCCAAAAGGTTTATTTAATGACAGAAAATAAAATAGGTCCCAAAGGCTTTACCGTGGCTATGCGAGCAACTAGCAACTCCCAAACTAGAACTCTCTGGAACTGCATGAAAACTGAACAAAGAATTCTGAACATCAGCGGTGAGTGACCCAAACATAAACCTAACCTATATCCATAATTTGATCCTCTGCAAATGTGTCCTAAAATGTCCCGGAATCTACTTCCGGGTTTTTCGCAATCGCTTTTTCTCGCATTAAAATAGTATTATTGTCATGAAAACCTTAACAGAAAATTCTGAAATCCTCTGTGCATGTGTATTAATAATGTATATGTATAATGTATTCTCCCATTAACATTTAATGGTGTTGATTGATAGGTATTTGCGTTTATTGAGCGTGGCTAGCTCCGGAGTGGCCGGAACTACTTGCGGAGCAATCTACACAGATGAATTACAAGCAGAGAGTGCGTTGCCATGGGCAGCGGTCATTATTGTTTTGAGAGGTCCGTTATAAGAAATAATGACCGGTAGAGTGTTTTGAAATTATATTCAAATCAATGGAGCGTTCTACTGCTGCTGTGAAGAGCCGTGTAATAATGGTAATTAATCGCGTTTCAAACTATCAGCAAAATGTTGCCATATTTTTCCCTAAATGGTTGTTTGAATGGAAAGATAATTGACAACATACATATGTACTGTATTTGTTTATTGTAACCATAAATCCACATAAAACTGTTTTTCTGTAGTAAACAGTATTTCTTCTAAGTTATATTAAAAATTGTTTTCAAACTCATAATTAAATTGAAACATTTAGCTAATTGATTTAGCTTGTGTATGAATTCAGGCCATAAAAAGTGCTGAGTGGAAACTTTACGTGACGCTAGTTCCACGCTTCCTCTAGTGTCTGCAGCGCAGGTAAACAAGAACAGCATGGAGGCAGAAAATGACTCTACTTCGTCTGTCTGTAACTGCATACACAGCCAAACAGCCTAAAAGACGCAAAAGTGAAGAGGAGAAAAGGGAACTAAAGCGAAAAAATGACAAAAGAAGAAATCTAGCCTGGGTGAACATAGTTAGCTTACATCACATCCTCTGGAGAGACCTGCGGGAGCAGACCATAGACTTAAGTGCGGGACCGCCTCGGACTAACATTGGACACAAAACTAGCGGTAATCTTTCAGTCATTGTACTGTATATTTTGTTAGCAGTGCTTTGCTTTTGTACCATTTCATCAGTGATTGTTGTACAGCTTATGAGAAGTTATGCTAATGCTAACTAATGCCTACCTGCTCTGTCGCCATCTTACACGTGTCAGCGTCACTTCTGAGTGTTATTATGGGATGCATGTGCGGGTCATTTTGCGTATTTTTTTGCCGCAATTAAAGAAAAAAATTAATTAACGTGCGTTAACGCAATAATTTTGACAACCCTATTAATGATAATTATTTACTTTATGGACTATGTTAAGTCTGCAGTTTGTTTTTTGAACATTTTATATGGTGTATTTTATATAGTGTCCACCTTGCAAAAAACATCCCACTGCACTGAGTATTACTTTCCCCAGAGACTGCCATCTAGTGAAGAACACATTTGCCTTGAAACTGGCTTTGAAAAGAAAATACCTTAGAAATCTCATTGTACTGTTTGTCACTGCTGCAAATTACATACCTCCCAGCTCCACCATTTTCCAATTAAAGAGCAGCAACTTTATCATCACCTGCCGCTTCTCAGACGCCTCTCCTCACAGTGATATTGATGAATGCTCTGTCAGGTCCGTATTATGCTTTTAATTGTGCTCGGTTTTGCGGTTGTTGTGTTGCCGTCACACTTTAAGTGCCAGGTGGCTCTGTTTGGAAGGCTACTTGCAGGAGCAGATTTGGTTACAGACTGGTGGTAATTAGCAGGTGTTCAGCCTGAGCTCTACTGTCTGTGTATGTATTTCATGAATGAATGAAGAGCCCAAAATTAAAAATGACGCTTGTAAATGCAGGGGGTGATTTTATTGTTTTTAACCAGGCCTGTTTAGCTGCTGTGGATTCTTAAACTTTCCAGAAATGCCAGCATTTGGTGCCGACGCAGATCTGGCATGGTCACACAACGCTCACCACAACAGCAGCTCCAGCCCTGTGTCATCACTGCATGATTTTCCCCACGCATGCCCAGGGCAGCTGAAAGCCTTTTTTTGATTTCCCTTCGGGAGGTTCCACCTGATGCAGCTCATGGGCTCTGCATTAATGATAGTCAATTTTATCAATCAATTGCTACATTAGTTTCAATAATATATAACTGAGATTAATCAATTATCTTGTCACAACCCAAAACGGCAAGGAGCAAAACGGCGATTACTGTTTCTCCATGTAACCAAATATGCACCAAAAGTGTCTACTTCTTGAAAAATAAATTGTTACAGTAATTATTGTGAATAATGACTGTATAATTAATACCTCAGTCAAGCCTAAAGATGTGCCATTCTTACATCAAATGATTGCCAAGCCATCAAACTTAATGAACTATCAAACAATTCAAACAAAAGGAGCAGAACAAAAGTGGCCCAGTGGTACAGTTTAAAGTTCGGAAGTGACCTCTCTGCTGCTCTGCATTGTAGCACTATGGACAATTTAAGGCAAGGCTATTTGCTCTTCAAGATTAATTTATAAACAGCACTATGAGGCCTGCCCCAAAAGTGAGCTTGAGGTGGGAGTGGGATCATAAGAAAATGTATGCTAGACAGCAAGCTCATGTTAATGTTGCTTTTATAAAATTTAGCTTACAATTACAGCGGACGCCGTAACTAAAAAAAAGTCAGTAATTACAGATTAATTTATAGTTTATTGTTCCTCTCTCATGATGGTTTTACAAAACAAGGTTTAACTTCATGTAAAACTTTATTTTGTCTTTCATTCATATATATATTTTTTGTATCACATCTGCCTCCAGCTGTTTGAGCTGCTGGGCCCAGAGGGACTGGAAATGATCTCTCTGCTGCTACAGAAGAGGAGCTCCATTGTGGACTCGCTGCTCAACGCTGCCCCTGACAGAGCTCCACACATTGGCGGTAAGGCTCACACATCTAACCACACTTGAATGCAATGCACAAATATTTTTCACTTTAAGAAAGAAGGACTTGTCTTTGTAAGTCTGGTGAATCATCCATGCATCACAAATTCAGTGGCTGTGGTCAGTGGGTGACGCCGGTGTAAGATGTGGATTCATTTTAAGTCAGAATGAGAGAAGATTCAGATTTATTTGTTCTCTTTTTGAAAAGATTTTATACCTTTCTTTTCTTCCCTTTGCCTCGCATAATTACGTGCAAGCTTCTCTGAAACACTAATTCTTTTAAGTAAGTTGTTGTACACAGGTCACTGCTGTCCTCCTATTATCAACTATTTTGCTCTGCCAATCTTTAACGTGACACAATATTCTACCACGACCACAACAAAGCTATCACTTTTGCACCTCTCAAATCGCTCGCACTGTTTGATGCTACAATCAGATCCCATCTTTCACAACATAAGAGGCGAGAAGATTACATTGGATGTGTCTTTCTACCCTGCCTTTTCTCCTTTCTGCTCTGATAAGGGGCTGTCATTACTGTGTGGGTGATAGCTGTCTTTGAAGAGTCCAATGGGAGACCAAGAAGCAAGATCTTGTGTCATCTGATAGCACAGGTCCAGAGTTTTGCGATAATAGACATGATTGTCGCTTAATATCTGCAGAAACACTAACACCGCTCTTGTAATATCCTCCCTTATAATGAGGTGTAATGTGCTCATGGCAAGCAAATAGATTGGCCCATTAATCTAGAAGATTACAAAGATTTCTTTAAAAAAATACTATTATTTTTGCTTCAAAAGATGTTTGTGGATACTTGTGATGTAACATTTTGTTTTTGTTTGATGTTTCATACAATTTTGCTTCCACAGAATAGCTTTTAAGATATCCATAAGGCTCTAAAGTGAAAGAGCAGTTTTGAAACGATGTTAATTTGTACTGGCGTACAATAGAAGATCATTTTTGTAAATTTTTGTATATTATTTGAAAATTAGAATGATTAATACAAAGTCATATTATATTATACTACAGCAGCCATTCCCAAAGTCAGTAACCTTAAAAATCTGACGGGTCTGCGCGGCCCCCCGAAATAATAACCAAGAAGACAACGTAGAAAATAGGCTCTTCTCGTTATTTTATTTGGGGGAAATAGCCTCTGCTACAAACATGATTACAATTTGATTATTCAAGTCAAATAATGAACACAAATATTTTAATTTTTCAAAAAATATTATTAATTTACACGCTGGAGGGACTATGTCGCTCAGCTGGCCTGGGAACGCCTTGGGGTCCCCCCGGACGAGCTGGAGGAAGTGTGTGTGGATAGGGAAGTCTGGGCGTCTCTGCTTAGACTGCTGCCCCCGCGACCCGGCAACGGATAAAGCGGAAGAAAATGAATGGATGGATGGATTATTAATTTAACATACAATAATTATATAAAACTTTTTTTGTTTTTTTATGACCTCTAGCGGCCCCCCTGCAATACCATCACAGCCCACCAGGGGGCCGCGGACCCCACTTTGGGAGACACTGTACTACAGTATTAGATACTTAGTTCCTAGCATAGGTTATACTAGACTTTTTTGCCTAGATGCTGCAGGGTTGGTAAATTGGGTATGGACTAATGGACTAATTGTTGAGTTGAGTGTTTATTTATTTTGATGTACATCAAACATTATTATCAAATGTCACTACTATGAATTTTCTAACGTATCATTCATTAACTCACTTACTTATTATGATAATGTACATTGTTCAAACTTGAAAAGGTGTAGGAGAAAGAAAAAGCAAAACATTGAAATGGCTTTATTAGACCAGCCCTCGTTTTGTGGGTTTTGTGCCCCTAAGCCCTGTTTCCACCAGCCCTACTTGGCCCTACTCTTCTCTCCCCCGATTGAGAGTGTTTCCTCCGGCTCTGTTTGAACCATACCAGGTACTTTTTAGGTACTTACCGGGGCCTGGTTTTAACTAGGCCGAACTGGTACTGAAGTGTTCACGATGATTGGCTGCTGATTGGTTATTTTTTATATAAAACATGCTCAATTTATTTCCTTTTTGCTACATTAGTATTGGTTAGCATTTGTATGTAGCATGAGTAATTCTGCTCTCTCCCACTTCAGTTCCAATCCCCCCCAAAAGCCTATTACCTATAGATTGGCCTTTCTCTTCAAAGCAATTGTTCATTATTTCTCCCACGTCTCTGGTGCTATCTGCCCCTGCCTTGATAAGGACCATCATGCTTTGGCCTCCCTGGAGACGACTCTTCAGCATCTCACATGAATAAGAGAAATGCCACAGTAATAGACCCAAATAGGTGAACACTCTGTGCCCATTTCTGATTTTTTTTTTTTTTTTTACGTCACAAAAAGTGTTTCAAAAGCAGCTAACAGAATGTCTTTGAAAATTTGAAAATCAAAATAAAAAAAACTCAAACCATTTATACTCTAAAATTAAGACCTGAAATTCATAACATCAACGCACCAACATGTTGGGAGGCTATTAATTTTCCATTGAGACGACCAGGATCTCTCATATAATACTGAATACCTGGTTTAAAATGTATTTATGTAACATATTCAGAACGTATGTGGGGGTCCAATCAGAGTTCGTACGTTTCATAGACTGCAAATAACGGACGTAGTCATGCCTATCTCCGGCATTGAAACTAATGTGCCTCCACGTTTGCCTTCTATGGGCAGTTTCAAAATGGCCGCAGGGCAGGACAATGTCGGCGCGTGCGTCAGCCCGCACGAGCCTCATTCATTTGAGGAATGCCTTTAAAAAAAGTCCATAGCGCCTAAACTAGATTGGTCCCAAAATATATATTCCCCTCAGCATTGAAACACTGAAGTATAGCGTTGTACCTAGAGCCAACTTTTGGACCATCCTGTAAAGCCGTTTTTTGAGAGGTAAGAAGACACCATACAAAAGCATTGAATAATTCTCTTTCTGGGTCCACCCCCAACGGCTAGGAGTAGCATTGCAAGCATGTCAGCGCACATGCTCATGGACCTTTTTGATCCTGGTACGTACTGGTACGGATATGTATGACGAGATTGCGGATACACACAGGAAAACTTTGTATAGAATCAAACAGTTCGAACACAGGAAATGTAAAAACAACAAACACAGGAACCGTTGGTTCAGAGGGAGCGGGATGATCAATGGTAGTAAATATTTGCATCCATATGCATAAATGTCCCTGTGCCAGTCATTAAAGATGCTATACCCGATTTATTTTCTAATGAGTTCATAAAAAGGCTTACTACTACATACAAGTTGTATTATAATCCGTAATTTAATTGAAAACTTGAGCTCATTGATTCAGCTTGTGTGTGAATTCAGGCCGTGAAGAGTGCCAAGTAGGCACTTAGCGTGACGCTAGCTCTCCTCCAATCACAGAACGAGGAGCAAACAGCCTGTGTCCTCTAGCCTCTACAGCGCTGCTAAACAGTCTAGGGCTTTGACTTCGAAATTTGAATATAATTCGAATATTGGACAGCCCTTAATATTCGATATGTATTTAATGACTGCAAATAAAATAGTTAGCTCCCAAAGGTTTCACCGTGATGTGCTAGGCAGGTAACAGCTAAGCTAGCTAGTTAAAACACTTTCTGGAACTACATGAAAACTGAACAAAGAATTCTGAACATCAGCGGTGAGTTACCCATTTATATACCGAACCTAAATCCATAATCAGATCCTCTTCCAATGTGTCCTAAAATGTTGTTTTCATGTTAATGGTTACTTCCGGGTTTATCACGATCGCAGTATTTCTGTCATGAAAACAGTAATACATTTTTGTTTTGAACCTCCGTACACGTGTGTTAAGGATGTATATGTATAATGTATTCCCCGATTAACATTTAAAGGTGTTAATTGATTGATTGGTATTTGTTTATTGACCGTGGCTAGCTCCGCTAGCTTCTCTGCACAGGCAGAAGTAGTGACGCGCTGAAAGCTTGTTATACTTGCGGAGTAATGTTAGTATTTTACACACCTGAATTACAATTGAGATTGCGTTGCCAAAGGCCAGCAGTCATTATTGGTTTGAGAGTTCTGTTATCAAGAAAAAATTATCGGTAGAACGTTTTGAAATTACGTTCAAATCGAGTGTTCTACTGCTATTGTGAGGAGCTGTATAATAAATTATAATTAACTATTCGAATATATTCTGATGTTTAAATTAATATATTCGGACGAAACTAGCGGTATTCTTTTACTTGTATATTTTGTTTGCAGTGCGTTGCTTTTGTACCATTTCTTCAGTGATTGTTGTACAGCTTACAAGAAGTTGCGCTCATGCTAATGTTAGCATACGTATCGGATCGCAAATACAACTAGATGGCTCCGTGGGATGAGAGCGTAGGGGAAATGAGAAGCCTGTGAGCGAGTGGGGGGCGGTGCTAAACATTCAATCCTTGCAGAAACGGGTATAGCTCCTTTAAACAACAGTCTTAGCTACTCCAACCCACGACGACCTTTCAAACAATCGTAGCGCCATGACGTAATGCGATCTACTTGTGGGGCATGGTTCCTGTACGGTGATCAGTGTTGGGCACGTTACTTTGAAAAAGTAATTAGTTATAGTTACTAGTTACTTCTCCCAAAAAGTAACTGAGTTACTAACGGAGTTACTCCACTATAAAAGTAACTAGTTACCAGTAAAAGTAACTATTGCGTTACTTTTTCGTTTTGTTCTGGAACATAATGTGCACCCGACGTGCGCATTTTTACCTTTTAATAGTGCCAATATTTCCATCTAGAAAAGGCTGTTTTGCTGCTGAAGTCCTGTTCACTCTTCATCTCTCTCTGTGCTGTAAGCACTAAACACAAACACCCGCCACTGTGAATGTGGAAACACCGGTGACGAGCGGTGAGGCTGGTGAAGCACTGACTTCAGTCCAATCAGATGAACATATACATCATATAAATCAAGTGGACAATTTGTTTGGCTACAGCAAAATATGTTTTATGCCCGCATTGTTTGTTCATACAAAACGC